TTCGGAAAGGACGGCCTCCCGTGCCCCGAAAGGGCCGCCTGGCCTGGAATTGCTGTCGAGGCTTGGGAGCGGGACGCTCCAATTGGCAGTCAGGCCTAGGAGGAAAGGAGCGGGGAGGCTGAGCCTACTCCGATCCTGATCGAAAGGGCGGTCTACAGGAGTACGGGTTGGACCGTCTGTCTGCCCTTCTGGTAAGGTGGGTCAACATCTTACGCTTGTCCGTTCTCTACCAGGTAAGGGTTAAGCGCCTCTCCGAATAGTTGTCCGCCACGGTAGGGGACGGTTGCCAGGTGCCACTTTGACTTTAAGTCCACTTGCCATTGCTTGAGCCATAGGAGCCTGCGGGCTGTGACGTTAGAGGCTATGGCTCGGGATGAAAATCTGGCGGCGTGTAGTGACACATCCGCCATGTATTCGGATGTCGCCACCAACTTACCCAGATTCTGGTGAGCACGAACCTGTTCCGGGGGAATCATGGCCTGGAGCTCTCGAAGCCATATAATGGAAGTCCTGGCAAAGGAGGTGGATGCTGATGCCTTTAACGACCATGCCGAGGCTTGGTGAGACCTGCGTAGGGAAAACTGATTTTCTGTCCTCCGCCCTTAAGGTCTCAGCCATGTCCCCTGACACCGTGGAGGAAGAAAAGAGTGGTGTTAGGGACTCATCCACACTTGGGACCTCCAGGAGTTCTGACAAGGCGGGGGCAACATTGAATAGCCTGTCTGTTCCCCCCGGAGCGGGGAGTGTGCCAGGAGTTCCCCATTGCTTCTGAATGATGTTCAGAAAGAAGGAGGGACAAGTGATATGCCTTTCCGTAATCGTAGGCTCGGAGAATAGCGGCTTTGAGTCCTGGCTGGTGGAAGGAACCGGTTGAGGTTCCTGATCAGGACAAATCTTGGCCGATGTAGTTGCTTTCAGTAGCAGTGACTTAAACAACCCCAGGTCAAATAGACCAACAAAGGAGGAGGGGTCCGGAGATGACTCCTCATCTTCAGACAATTGAATGCCCCTTGACCCGTACTCCTCGGAACCTGAATCTCTGTCCTGAGAGGAGTGGTCAGAAGAGACAGAGTAAGGATATTCCGGGGCTTCCGCCCAGAAGTGAGATGGTGTCATGGGTGCCACGAATTCTGGCCTGGGCCTCTGGTGGAACGAGGAGGCCATGTCCTGGGCCAATGCCTGAGTGAGTAACGCCTTAAGCTGTTCTGGCCACACCCCTTGAGGTTCAGTGGGACGAAGTACGGCCGCTGTGGGTGTGAATGTGGCCTCTTGTCTCGACTGGACCCTGGGCGAAGGAGCCACCTATTGGGGGGCTGGTCCCTGGTTGAGGGGTAGAACGTTCCCTTGCCCGGCTTACCCTTCCAGAGACCAGGCCCTTTGGATCAGGGAGCTGGATGGGGCAAGTTTCGGGTTAAAGAGCGAACTCTCGTGTGGAACCGGGGAAGCTTGGACCGTTCCACTTGTGTTCAACTGTTGAACCTTGGAAAACTGCTTCTCTAAGGCTAGGTGTCTCCTGCTGGCCTCCTTTTCAGCCGCCTTAGAGGGCTTCTTGCCCGAAATAGCTTTGGCCTTGGCCTTAAGCTTTCCTGCAGCCTCCAGTTTGGAGGACTTGCGCTTCTTGCGGGCGGGAGTGCCGGGAGCACCCTGCGCATTCTGAGATACCGCGTTGTCTGCCATCACAATGGAGATGTCTCAGTGGAGTTCTGAGAGGTATCTCAAGACTTGGGAGCCGAGCACTGGGTTGTGACTGTGCGTCAAAGTGCTGGAAACCAGCGATTGCTCTAGGGAACGGTGGCAGCTGGTCCAACCTAATGGACTCTTGCACATCTGTAATGCTCCTGATGGCTGACAAAGCCTGATAACGCTCTTACAGCGTATTGGTCAGGCGTACGGTGGCGGAAAACCAACAGTTGTTAAGTTGTTGCCGCCACTAAGCGTAACTCGCTTAGTGGCGGCAAATCACCTCAGTGACAAGTGCCTGCGCACTTCAACACTGAAGTTGAAATAATTAGTGAGGAACGCTGTTGAGGCCTGGCTTGACTGGAGCTGAGACCAAAAAAAGGGGGGGACAGGCTTCAGGCTCAATTCCTAATGATCCTATGTGCAGGTACAGGCAATTAAAATACTTATTGAATTGAAGAGGGGTAAGTGATCCTGTCCGTTTTTCTCCCTCTCCCCCCACAAGGTCAGCTCAATGTATGAGACACCTAAAATGGCGCCCGAAAAATGAGGGCGTTTTGGAAGAGCTCCGAGACCCTGGAAATTGAGTGCCGGACGAGAAGTCTGAAGCCAAGGGACGGAGTCAAATACTGGAATCAAACAGCCCTTGACTGTGAAAATGCTTCTCTGGCCGAGATGAAGCAAATTAGGGCCAGGAGCTGACTGTAGCTGTGACAGTAGGAGAAACGGCTCCTTGCGCAGCTCGCAAAATGGCAGCCGTGACGAGCACGCCAAAGAAAGAACGGCAAAAAAGGGCCTTCTGACTGAGGCTTTGGGCCCCATGCTCGTCCGGACAGCAGACGGCTGTCAGCGCGCTCCGCTGGGCCCGACGATCAGCTGGGCAGCAGATGGTCGTCAGCGCGCTTCTCTGAACCCGACACTCAGCTGGGAGCGAAAGCCAGGCAGCGCACTCTGTTGAGCTCCGACCGAAGGGGGAAGACGAAAACTGCCTGGGAAAGCTTTCTTTCAACTAGAATCCCCGTTTAGCAAAAAGTGACTAAGGGGAGTGAGGGAAAAACTGCTGGGCAGTTTGTGGCAGCACTGGTCACAGCGCTGTGATAGAACAGGGAGAATCCACAAATGGGAGATATACAACCTGTCCAAATAAGTTTGACAAAGGAGCCAACCACAATAGTGTCCTGCTGGGCTCGAGACTAAGTCGTGACTGGATGGTACTCAAGCCCAGCAGGAGGCGTGGCAAGTTTGTCAGACTTAGCCTAATTGGGCAGGAAGACAGTCTAAACCATTCATAGATTCTCCATCCTCATGCTGGAGAAATACATGATTTTGGCAATACATTTCTGGTGATCTCCAGATGTATTAGACTACAATCTCCAATATTCTTAGTAAGCATAATGGGAGTTATAATACAAAACACAAGAAGGCAGTAGGTTTGCAGAGGTTAAGGTAAGACGGGGTAAAAAGAACTATAACAAGAGAATTTTCATAGCAAAATACGACCTGACCAAAAGCAAAGATGTACAATGAGAAATAATAGATAAAATATTGTGAATTAGTATGTTTGTGAACCATAGTTAATGGTATGTATCTAGTCAAATGTGCCTTAAGTCAAGGCTTTTCAACCTTTCCACCCATTGTATCACTTTTAGGACATGGCAAAATCCGAGTACCACCAGTCGCCTAGCAAGGTGTCAAAAACTTGATGACCAAAAAAAAAAAAAAAGGAAAAAAGTGATAAAGCACAGGTAGTCCTCGACTTACAACAGTTCGCTTAGTGACTGTTCGAAGTTACAATGGCACTGAAAAAAGTGTCCCCCCAGCCACAGCCGAGCAAGACACCTGCCTGCCCGCCCGGCGGCACTCTTCCTCCTGTCTGAGGTTTCCATTGTTGTGAGCATTTCTGTTGAGGATTGGCAGCGGGGGTGGGGTGGGGTGTGTTTGGTCTTTATTCCCCCCATCTGATGGGTGGTTGCAGAAGGTTTTGGTCACTTCACATAACCCTGGGACACTGTGACCGTCATAAATATGAATCAGTAGCCAAGCATCTGAATGTAAATCATAAGACCCTGGATAGGCTGCAACATTCCAGCTGATCGGCGCTTTTTCTGGGCTCAGCAGAAGCGCCAGGATCAGTGCTACTTTCCAGCTGATTGGTGCTTCTTCAGGGCTCAGCGGAAGCATCAGGATCAGCGCTGAGCTCCAGCTGGAGCCTGGCGCTGATCCTGGCGCTTCCGCTGAGCCCTGACAGCCCCGCAGCTCCAACCATCTCTCGCTCAGGCTTGTGCGGTGCTGCCACCAGTTCAGCTCATTCCCCTCCCCCGCTACCACTTTTCTAGGATGGTCGCGTACCACCTGCCAGGTGCCAATGTACCACAGGTGGTACTCGTACCACTGGTTGAAAAGCCTTGCCTTAAATAATAGTGTGTTTCAAGAAATTAGTACAGATAGTTCTCAACTTACAACCACAATTGAGCCCAAGATTTCTGTTGCTAAGTGTGTTAAGTAAGTTTTGTCCTGCCTCAGTTGTTAAGAGAATCATTGCAGTTGATAAGTTAGTAACCCGGTTGTTAAATGAATCTGGCTTCCCTACTGACTTTGCTTGTTAGAAGATCACAAACGGTGATCACATGACTATGGGACACAGCAACGGTCATAAATATGAACCAGTTGTCAAGCATCTGAATTTCAATCACCTGATCATGGGGATGCTGCAAAGGTCGTAACTGTAAAAAATGGTCATAAGTCAATTTTTTCAATGCCGTTCTAACTTTGAACAGTCACTAAATGAATTGTTTGTAAGTCAAGGACTACCTGTATAAGGAAAGGCAAAATAAAGCTTTTAAAAATACAGCAATAGCAATCGCACTTAGACTTATATATTGCTCCATAGTGCTTTACCGCACTTTACAAATGTCAGCATATTGCCTCCAACAATCTAGGTCCTCATTTTACTGACCTCAGAAGAATGGATTTGAGTCAACCTTGAGCCGGTCAGGATCGAACTTGTGGCTGTGGTAGAGTTAACTACAATACTGCATTCTAATCACTGTGCCACCACGGCTTTTCAAATTTGCCTTATTAACTTTCAGTAAAATAATATACAAAATAAGTTCATCACATATTCAGACTGAATTATTTACAAGAGCAAAGGAAAAACTAATCTAAATATATAGATGTTATTAAGCAGTACTGTTTTTTATTGGCATCAAAAGCCTCAAGGAATAAAAGTATTAGCTGAATGGTTGTAAGAAACAGGGACAAAACTGTTTTTATCCTTAGAAACAGGTAGAAATGTATGCTTAAAATATGTTTTTACACACCTTTGGATCGAGTGGAGATATCCATCCCTTCCACTACGTCCTGCTCTGCTTTTATTTCTTCTTCAGCCAAGCTGTAAGAGTAGAGAGATTTTGATGTTCACATATTTATATTGATTACAGTTTAGAAATGAAAGAAAAGACAAAACAATAAGTACTGTAACATGATCCAGCTTTCCTTGTGTTGCTTTTAGTGATGTTATGATTTATAAATATGGATAGCCTGAAAAACTTGTCTAATTCCCGTTTTAAAAGATACATATTGGCTACCATTATCATAACTCTAGGAGAGATGATGAGGTCAATGCTATCACTGTGCTCATAACACCAAAATCTATTTTTGTAATATTTTCAGGAAATGGTCCATCTCCTTTGAATAAGTAAATATTAAATTGCATAATGGATAATACATTGAAGCTGAAATCAGATGATATGCATGTGCTCATTTATAAGGGCAGAATTCCAGAAAAATTATAATGTTGCCCATACCCATGCATGCTGGGTATCTTTGGAATAGTTATTCTATGTCAACCAGCCTACTTCACAGGATTATTGTGGAGAAAACAGGAGGAAGCATTATATATGTCATGTTGAGCTATATAAAATAAGAGGCAGAAAATAAATTCAAATCCCATTAATGTATACTTAAAGCTTGCCTATTTCGTGCCAACATATGTTGTTTTACACTTGCTCATATTAAACTCTATTTGCCATTCTGAAACACATTTACCCAGTCAGAAGCTATCTTTTTGGAGCTTTTCACAATCTGCTTCTAGTTTTACTATCTTGAACATCAAAAAAACATGGTCACTTTATCATTTAGCCCAAACTCTATATAATTGTTATATAATTCAAGAACACCATTGAAATTCTGTGGTTACTTCTTTTAATATTTAAATTTACACAAAAGTACTGCCCAAAGATGTTTAAATTTAGAATCAAAGATTTACCACCAGCTTATCAGGTATTAGGAGCCAAGGACTTGGCAACACAAGGAAACAATAGCCAATGATTTAATAGTCATCCTTCAACACCCAGTCAACAACTAAAAAGCCACATACAATCAGGCACCACATAAATACAACACATAAAATAGCCCAAAGCAGAGAGAGGTTTTCTGAGGGTGGGCTTCAGTGTGAGTCCAAAAGTGACTAAACCTCTGGACACGGTGACCGTGCAACATTATCCTGGGACATGTATATTTTCCTTCATTCGTTAGAATCATAGAATCATAGTATTGGAAGGAGCCATTTAGGCCAACAAGTTCAAACCCTTGCTTGGTACAAGAATTCAAATTAAAACATCCCATTCTAAATTAAAGACAGAGGTTTTTAATGTAAGGAGTTAGATCACTCATCTGAATAGCTAGTATCAAATTATTACTGCTGCAAAACTTTTCCTAACATTCAGTCAGAATCTGTCTTACTCTAACTTAAATTCTGTGTGTCCTGCATTATGGAATTTAGAAAAACCTTACTATGTGACATCCTTTCAGCTATTTGATGACGATCTTACCCTCCAAATTATCTGTCTTTTTGAAGGCTAAACATACTCACCTCGTTCAATCGCATTTTACACTTAATTTCATGTCACTTGATAATATTCATTGCCCTTTGTGAACTTGTTTCAAGTTTTTTGAATCTTTTTTAACATCTCATACCGTATAAAGAACAAGATACAATATTTGGGGTCTTAACAAAAACCTAGCATAATAGAATAATTTGCAATAGTGGCGAATATCTGTAGAATGAGGGTGAAGGTTCATTTTCTGAACTTGTTTGTTTCCGAACGTTTCATTACCAGGCTAGGTAACTCCACTGAAGATGTTACCTAGCATGGTAACGAAACTTTCAGAAACCAATCCACAAGCTCGGAAAATGAACCTTCACCCTCATAATAGAATAATTATTTCCTATAGAAATTACAGTTTCTATGATACAGCCTAAAACTACCAGGTTCAGGTGGCTCTCACTCTGATGATGTTCCAGAAGTGTTTAAAATGTAGCTCTTTTCCCAGGCCTTCGGACAGGGTGGCTATGAAGCCACTATGAACCATGTTTTATGGTATATAGACTGGTATATGATTATTGATTGATTATTAATTTCTGTTTTTAATATAAGCTGCCCAGTCTTGTTCTAAAATCAGATGGCCTCAAAATTTAATAAATAATAACGATAACAGCAACAACTTTATTTCCTTGGAGCCAATCACATTGCTGGTTTTAAATAAGCTTTTATAGATACAATTATCAAGTCAGGTTTCCCCTTCTTATAGCTAAGAATTTGATTTTTTTTGCATCCTTAAGCAAATTTTGCACCTACATCTTAAATTTCATTGTTACTTGCAAAATTATCAAGATCATTTTGAAATTTGTTTAGGATATTGGCTATCCCTCTCAAATTAGATCTTCTGCAAGTCTGAAAATTATTTTCTCTGCCTCCTAATAAAAATATTTAACAACAGAGCATCAGGAACTGTTCCTTGCAGTACACTAATTAGTATCTCTTGGTGATGACCTTTGAGAAGCACTTTTTAAGTACTGTTTCAGAGCCAGTTATTTTTCCACTCATTCCATCCAGTCCACAGTTCAGTGTGTCATGAGGCGTTTTTTTCAAACATTTCGCTGAATGTTTGGAATTGGCAAGATTTCTCTTGACAAACCCATGCTGTGTTCTGTCTGTGTTATTAACAAATTGTTTTTATGGTGCTTACAAATTGATTTCTTAAGATTTGAAGCTTCACAGGTTTCGATGTCAGACTGAAAGGATCTTCCTTTACCCCCTTTTTGAAGACAGAGAGAACATCTGCTCTCCACCAGTCATCTGGAGTCATCCATTCATCTACACTATCTATAGTGTAAAAATCCATAAATCTAAGTTGAAAAACAAATAAAAAAGAAATTTTCACCTTTAGCAACCTGCCTTCCAGATCAATCATTTAAACTTAACAAAATAGCTAGAAATATCAAGTATTAATTGATACTGAAGGTTTGGGGAAGCTCAAGTATTAGAAAACATAATTGGAAAATGTCTATGTGCCTGATAAGGCTGTCTAAATGTCATGAACAGAAACATTTACACAGTAAAGTGATTAAAAACACAGAGTAACACATAGCAGGTATATTAAAAATCATGTCATAAAAACTAATTTGCTGCATTTAATAAAAAACCAGACTTCTCTACTTAGAATCAGATAGCTGAATGTTTCTGGGAAGCTCAAAATAAGTATGCCTGTACATCTGCTATGGCTTCATAAATTATAGCTTATTATTTTCCCGCTTTAAGGAAAATCAATTTTAAAATGTTCAATTTTCCCTTCATATATAATGGAGAACTCTAAGTTATCATAACCAGGACTTTTACACAAAAGGGGGTTCTGAACAAAAGTAAAACAATGGTTAAGAGAATAAACGCTTTCTATAATTCTGGGAAACCATAATTCTGAAAGTCCAAATAAACTCCCAATATAACATCAAGGACAAATACTGTTTTTATTTTCATTACCCTTTCTAATATGTTTTTAATTTTATAACGCATTTAACCAGTACTGCTGATAAATTATTATAATCCCCAATTTTTGTAGAAATTGCATATAAAAATGACTGGATGGTATTATATACACTGTATTAGAATTATTTTGCTTAGAGCAGGGGTCCCCAACCCTGTGGCGTTAGGAACAGAGTCACACAGCTGGAGATGAGCAGCGGGTGAACGAGCAAAACTGAAGCCATCCTCCCCCCCCATCCCCATCCTTCCCCCCCCCATCCCTCTCCCAATCCATGAAAGATTGTCTTCCATGAAACAGATCACTGGTACCAAAAAGGTTGGGAACCGCTGGCTTAGAGCGTACCATTTTACAACTGAATTCATTATTACCTCACTTGGTATTCTGTAATCAAAGGAACACTCGGATTCTTCTGGAAAGTACATAGTTTGTTTCACATTTTATCATTCCACATAAAATAATTTTATTTACATTTTTAAACAATTATGAGATTGCTCACGAGTATATTAAATTATAAACACTATCAATCTAATAGAGAATCATGGGGGGAGTAGATTATGGAAGGTAAAAAATGTTTCTAAGAGGTTACTGGTTTGTATGGGCCTCCAAACCTCTTGGGTGCAGAAGCTATGTACCAGCATTATTTTACCAAGTGTATGATATATTCTAAATTAATTTCTGATATATCTAAATGTTTCTTTAAAAGGGGCGTTGTCTTACCTGAACGCCTTTTCTCAGCATGATGATGGATAATCCACATGATTGGGTTTCCTGAAGTCCCTTCTACCCAATTAGACTAAGTCTGAGAGATAGCCACACCTCTTGCCGGGTCACCTTTGTCCAGTTCCGACGGAGGCGAAGCAACAGACAAAGCTAGACGCGTTGGTTTCCAGACTCCTGCCACAGTGCCCAGTAATCAGTAAAAGGGCAGGAGTGGATTATCCATCATCATGCTGAGAAAAGGCGTTCAGGTAAGACAATGCCCCTTCTCCAGCATGATGGATGGATAATCCACATGATTGGGACATACCAAAGCCTGCCTGTCCCTAGGGGGGGGTAACAGACGGGCCATGTGATGCAGGAGATGACACTACCCTCTGCAATACTCTACGGCCAAATGCAGCGTCAGTAGAAGCAAAACTATCAATTTTATAATGACGGATAAATGGGGAAGGTGACAACCAGGTCGCCGCCCGACATATGTCACCAATGGGCGCCTGAGTGGCCCAGGCCGCAGAAGTGGCCGCGCTACGAGTAGAGTGAGCGAGGGTACGGCTAAAGATTGTGATTGGTATGCCCTGGCAATACAAGCCTTAATCCACCTGGCAATGATGGAAGAAGAGACCTTGAGCCCCATAGAGGCCGGATTGAATGACAGGAAAAGTGCCTCTGACTTACGGAAAGAAGCAGTTCTCTTAAGCTAAATGCGAAGCGCCCTGCGAACATCCAAGGTGTGCCATCTGCGTTCTAAGTCACCAGACGAACTAGGGCAGAAACTCGACAACACCACCTCCTGTGACCGGTAAAACAAGGAGTTCACCTTAGGAATGAACGTGGGGTCTAAATGCA